GGCGGGGAYACTATAGRACTTCGACGGATAAYAAGGGAGGAAATTACGTTCTAGACTAGAATAGCACTACTAACCGCTAGGCGGGGCTTTCTAATTAAAGGCGGGTCTATCTAGTACTAGCTAGCTAGACCTRACYACATTATCTCTAATACTCCGCCTCYATTTCCTATCCTAAGGTYAATCTAACCCGATCTAGCTYATTATGCCCTAATCCGATATATMCTRCTCCTTACTAYRGTCGGCGGGGGTAGTCGGGAACATTAAACGCCGAAGTTAGCTAAGAGTAGGCTTCTTACCCGGGGCAAGGGCCTAGTTAAACCCCTCTAGCGCCGTAGAGACCGTAATAAGGCAATGCTCCGCCGCCTTAGTGCGCTCCGCGTTAGAGGTCTCCTTTCTAATAGACGAGACGTCTATAATGCGACGCTTCTTACTAGTAGGAGTCGAGGGGGTACCGGAGGCCTATAGAACGAGTTAGAAGGTATTAGAATGCGCTAGAATGCGTACTTACGTACTTAGCTAATATAGCTGCGGCCGAACGGTCCCGACGTATTACCTTTAGGTTCGTCTCCTCCTAGATAGACGTACCTAGGTAGTAAGAGAGACTATCCTTACCCCGCACGGAACTACTAGCAGCCCTATAGTCTAATATTAGCTAGAACGCGACAGAAGACGCTAGAATAGGACATATAGCTTAATCTTACCTATAAACACGATAATTCTAAACCGGAGGTCCTTAACCGCATTCCGATCGGGTACGGAGGTGCGATTACCGTATAGAGCGGTAATCTCGGACTATAGTACGGTCTATTTATCCTTCTTATCGAGGGGGAGCTAGACCGGTTAGCGACAGACTACGCTAGAACAACGCTAGAAGGACCTACCTAGAGACAGTCGGCGTTCTTATTACTAAGGYAGGCGCTACACTTAGGAGTAATACCCTTACTAGGTTTAGATGCGGCGACCTAGTAGATTATAGTAAGATCTAAGCCAGACTTAAGGTCGGAGAGGCAACGCTAGCACGGATTGCCGTTATAGGGGCTATTCTTAACTAGGCGGATGTAGTTCTAGCGTACGACGTCGGTAGCGGACATAATAGGGGACAGTCTACGACAAAGTTAGCTAAAAGGTCTCTAAAGGACACCGCATAGAGTAAGCTAGCGCCAGATAGCGCTAGAATAAGCTAGAAGCCACCCGCTAAAATTCTGGAGGAAAACATACCGGAAGGAGGTTAATAAAAAGATAAAGTCTCAAATCTGCTAAAAGTTTTCTTTTATAGGAATTTCCGTGTAACACCCCGGACCCCTCTTTTCCTCTACTCTCTACACCC